ATGCGGTTTTTCTCTATAACTCTTCTCTGTTCAAATGTATTCATTACAAGAAGACAAGATTGTTTTGCTTTTTAAATTCAATTGTAGTGTGTTTCATTTCCTATTCAGCACTTTATTTAAGATGGATTATAACATTTTACACAGGTGAGTTGTTGGAAAATTCCGTATCTGGGGTATGAAAATAAACTGTTACTTTTTATAAACGAGAAGCTGCCCTTGATTCCCACTTCCAGAATAAATCTTTGTTGTGCTCACAGGCTGTCACAGCTGTGGCAATGCCAGAGTCTGCCATAAGTACCAGATTTTGAAGTTTCTAAATAAAAAGGCATTTTAAACCTTTTTCTATGTATCCTTTAGTGAATGACGTTGCTTTTGTGATTTGACTTAGAAAAAATTTCCGTAAAGGTAAACTGAGAAAATCACTATCTGCCACTAACGCATTTGAGTACTTTAAAAAATAGTGGCTTAAGTGGGATGAAATGAGGTTAGAAGCAGATAGACTATTTATAGTTTCAAAATAATAATGGATGGCTTGAGCAGGATTTATAAGCCAGCTCCAGAACTGGTTTGCATTAGAAGCATTTTTCTTTTTTTTTTTGAGCAGAGTCTTGCTCTGTAGTCCAGGCTGGCCTTGAATTTATGGCAAACCCACCTGAGGCTCCTAAGTGCTGGGATTACAGGCGTGTGCCACCATGCCCAGCAGGATTTTTCTTTTTGATATACTAACTTTCTGCTTAGAAAGTCATGCATATTCATTATAGAAAATGTAGAAGTAATGAAGGAAATAAACACAACCTGTTTCTACCATATAGAAATAACCACTGCTTTGCTTTGCTTTGCTTTTTTCCCCTGTAGTGGGGATTGAACCTTGGGCCTTCACACTGAGGTGTGTCCTCAGCTCTTTTTTTATTTTGAGATAGTGTCTTGCTAAGTCAGTAAGTTGGAATCAAACTTGCAGTTGTCCTGTCTCAATCTTCCAGAGAGCTAGGCTTACAGGTGTTTGCCATCACTGGCCACTGTTACCTTTTGATGTGTGTTATTCTGATCTCATTTTCTTTTCTTTTTCTTCCTTCCTTCCTTCCTTCCTTCCTTCCTTCCTTCCTTCCTTCCTTCCTTCCTTCCTTCCTTCCTTCCTTCCTTCCCTCTCTTTTTTTGTTTTTTGGTCTTTTTGAGATAGGGTCTTGCTATGCAGTTCAGGCTGGCCTTGAGCTTATTTTGTAGCCCAGGCTGGTCTCAAACTCGAAACAGTCCTTTTGCCTCAGCCTCCCGAGGGCTGGGATCACAGGCGTGTGCTACCACGCACAGCTGTTCACGTGTTTTAGAACATAAATATTTGAAACTTTATATAGTAAAATCTTATCAGCTTTATTTATACTTTTTTTTACTTTTGATATTAAGCTTAGAAATGGGCCTTCATATTCTTTATCAGTATATTTTATTGATATAAATATTCACCCATGTTGTATCTGAGCATTTCAGAAATACAGGATCTGGAATCAGCCTGGAGTGGTGGCATACACCTGTAATCCCAGACTCTGGGAGGCTGAGGCAGGAGGATCGCAAGTTCAAGCCCTGACTAGGCAGTTTAGTGACTTGATAAAATGCTGTCTCAAAATAAAAAGGGCTTGAGGTATAGCTCAGTGTGAAGATAGTGAATCAATCACCAGCATCTCAAAGGAAAAAAAAAAAATCTGAAATCTGTTTGACACAGGACTTGGAAAATCTAACGGCTTTTTTTTTTTTTACAACAAAACTATCCTAGCATAATTTGTTGAGAAATTTTTACTTTCCCCAGTGACTTGAAATACCTTTACTACCTTATGTATACTTTAGTCTACTTAGGGAGTTTTATTCTGCTTTATTGTACTTTTGTACCAATTTTTATACCATTCTAACTTTTGAGGTTTCATTTAATGTCTAGTAGTATCAGCCTTCATGACTGTTACAAGTTTTCAAAATTTCTTTGGATAGAGTCCGGCAGGTGCTTAGAATTATATCATCAAATTCTGAGGAAGAATTCCACTGGGATTTTGATTGAGATTGCATTTAATTAAATAACAGCTATGCTAACAAGATTTGAGTTAGCCATCTTTTAATGAACTATATTTAGTTTCTTAATTTGTTAAATTTATCCCATTCTATAGTTGAATGAGTTTGGTAGACAAAGATTACAGTAATTATAACAATATCTTTGTTTCAATTATTTTGATACAACTTTAATATATTTAAATATAGACTTTTCCCAAAAGTTATATATTTTGTTGTAAACATTCTTCTTCTATTTGTAACTTTTTTCCTAGTCTCTTTATTTGCAGTCTCACTGACTTTATCAGGTTTAGTAATTTTACATTTTGTCCTTTATAAAGACAATAGCAGTGATATAAGATTGAAATGGGCGTAGTGCCAAACACAGCAGTTTTCTAAACAACACTCTTAGCACATTGCTATCTTTAATTAGTTGGAATTAAAATAGCTCAGCAGAAAATGTATTTTGCAAATAAAATTCTTTGGTGTAGAAATCTATAAGCTATGATCTCTTTGCCCTTAATAATAATAAACAGAAGGGTAATATTAATCTAGCAGATTATAAACCATCTGGTTTATTATATTTCTCTCTAAACTGTTGTAATGAGTATAGATTTCTAATTACACATTCCCTGACTTACCCTTAACCTTAGTAGGATAAACATTTTCAGATTTTATGTATTGTGATAAAAATGATCTTTGAAAAGTGTTTAACATGGGGCTGGGTGTTGTGGTGCCCACCTGTAATCCCAGCACTGGGGAGGCTGAGGCAGGAGGATCACCATGAGTTTGAGACCAGCCTGAACTATGTGTAACAGGATCCTGTCTGAAAAAAACAAAAAGTTCAACATGAACTTTTAAATGTTTTCATTATAAATATGAACTCATTAATTTTACAAGTTTATGGCTTTCACTTTGACACTTCTACACATGCATATGTTGTGATTTCATCATACCACCCTCCCAACTATCCTTCCTTGATCTTCCCTCTCTCCCCATTCCCTGGAGCCCCTCCCTGAATAACAGTCCTGCTTCTGCTTTCAGATGTATATAAAATTTTTTGTTAAAGTTTCCACGTGTGACAGAATACACACAGTACTCGTCTTTCTGTATCTGGTTTGTTTTGCTTAACGTGAGGAGCTCCAGTTCTGTCCATTTCGCTGCACGTGATGTGCCTTCATTCGTCAGCGCTGAGTAAAACTCCCCCTGCGCTGACCCCGTACCCTGGGCGTTGCAAGTAGTGTTGCAGTAGAGCTAGCTGTGCAGCTGAGTGTTTAGGGTGCCAACTTCATTCCCTTCAGGTGTGCCCAGGAGTGGCGTGGCTGGATCATAATGCAGTTCTTTTTTGTTTTTCTGAGGCGCCTCCATATTATTTTCCATAGTGATTCAACAGATAATGCTGGGGGAACTGGTTATCCATTCGCAGAAGATTGAAACTAGATTCCTGTCTCTTGCTTACCCTGTACAAAAATCAACCCCAAATGGATCAAAGACGTTAATGTGAGGCCTAAAACTTCGAAACTACTTGCAGAAAACATAGGGGAACACTTCAAGATGTAGACCTCGGCCACAGTTTCCTGACTACTGCTGCTCTAGTAGCTCAGGAATTGACAGATGGGATTATGTCACATTAAAAGGTTTCCACATAAGAAAGCAGTCAAAGAGATAGTGTACAGAACGAGAAAACTCTTTGCTAGCTCTTCACCTGACAGAAGCTTACTATCCAGAATATATAAAGAACTCAAAAAAGTAACGAAGGAAAGGACAAGTAACCAGCCCGTGAATGGGCCTGGGGTCTGAATAGAGAGAAGTACGGATGGTCAGCAAGCACTGCGTGTGAAAGGTGCTTGACCCCATCAGCCGTCAGGGAGCTGCACCTCTGAGCCACACCGAGGCTGCTCCTCAGCCCAGCCGGAACGCCTGGTACTAAAACCTGCAAATGCTGAGAGGGTGCGAGACAGCACAGGCACGCTTACGCACTGTTGGTGGACTGTAAACATTCCCCGCTACTTTGACATTTTCTGTGGCTGCATGAGCTCTTCGATTCCTCACTTACGCACCAGTCAGGCGTATGGAAGCTCTGGACTGGGGTTCCTTAAATACCACTTGAACCTCCAGGAGTCTTGCTGGCAGCCATCTGAGTAGGTCACTTCCCTGCTCCCTTCCCTGCTGGCTTCCTGCTAGATGCTGTTGTTTGTCCCTGGAATGTCGATTCCTCCCTTCTCTGTCCTTAGCACCATGACCTCTTCCACGGCCAGGTGGCTGGCACTTCCCACCGTACCTCCTTTGAAATTAAGTTGTTAAGCACTTAATTCAGGGCCTTGACTTCATGTTCGGATACAGCAAACTGTGTACTGTTGTGTAGTGTTCGGACTCCAGCCTGAGCCACAGGTGCTTGCACAGACTTTCTTCAGCAGGGCTCTTACAGGTGTCCCACTAGCGCTGCAGGAGCCAGAGTAACCTGAGCATGGAAACAGCCAGAACCCGCCCCAGCATCAGTGCTAATACTGTACTTAATCAGCTCTGAAATACATTTTACATGCAGTTAGGGTACATATTACAATCCATAGTGCACCCCAATTTAATTGGCAGCTTGTTTTCTCTCTTGGAGGTACATAACATATTGATGTACCTGAAAAGGAATGGTGTCATAGATTTGAGTCAGGGCCTCAAACTCTTGATCCTTGTGCCTCCACTCGCACAGGGCTAGGACTCCCGGGGTGCCCCCGCAGCCCGCCGGCAGCTAGCATTGGTTGCTTTCCTGGGTGCGTGAAGTGTACTATCAGACTTGAGCCTTATACCGTCTGCAGGAAGTAGAGATGTTCAGTTGAAAACACTGGGGCCCAGAGAAGTTCAGCGGGGCCGGAATTAAAGCTTGAACCCACGCTACAGAGTAGTTCCGAGTTTCCCTGCCGAGCTCCCCACCGATGTGCTGCGCCTCTTCATAACCAGCTTGTTTTCTCTCCCCCTTGAAGGCATCGCTGGCTTCACAGTATGACTGACGACCCTCCAACCACCAAACCTCCAACGGATCGTAAGTTCATTTGGAAGAAGCATCAGTTCAACGTGAGTGGCACTCCTCAACAGTACGTTCCGTACTCCACCGCTAGAAAGAAGATTCAGGAGTGGGTCCCCCCTTCCACGCCGTACAAGTAAAGACCACGAGAACCAGTCGCAACGTGTGAAATCCGGGCTTCTCTCAGAATTGTACTTTTACTGTCTCCTGTGAACGTGATTAAAATTTGTCTGACCAAGCAGTGTCTTTCGTGCCATTTTTCCCTTAAATTTGTCATTTCTCCTTTTACAAAATAGAAGCTCACTAAGATGGGTGATTGAAGTAGACGTCAGCTACGGTGACGCCTGGTGCAGAGCCCTGGGTTTTGGAAACAGCCCCTGAGGTCAGGGTTGTGCTTTGTGACCTTCCCCACTCCCACGGGAAGACCTCAGCCACTGGGTCAAGCGCATTTCCCACGGGCATGTGAGGGGGCCGTGGAGAGACCCGGGGCGGAGAGGTCCGGGTGGATGGCGTCTGCGCAGCTCGCGGAGGAGGAGGTCGGCGGAGACTTCCTGCTTCCCGGCTCGGGTTCCTTCACACTTTAACCTGGGAGCTCTCCCGGGCTTCTTCCCGGGGTACACTTCTTTAAGATAACGAAGGTTCCTGGGGGTGGGGTGGGGTTTTTGTTGTTGCTTGCAAACGAAAACATTAACGTGGAGAGGGATAGCAGGAGGCCCTGGGGAAATGTGCGATGTTGGGTTGGCCATTGTGTGGGACGAGAGGCAGAGCCGAGTCTCTGTTCTTCCGGGACACTCCCCTTCTCCTTTGGAGAACCAGTTCCAGCAGCTGCTGGGCACGGGGGAGACATCGGGACCCCAGGTGCTCTCTGATCGCTGCTCAGATAGGTGGCCGTTTCCGGTAGCCCTCTGCCCTCCAGTACGGGGTGAGCCAGGCCGCGAGGGCGCATTCAGTGGGCAGGAGGGAGCAGGCCTGCCCCACTCTGCCCTTGACCCCTCCGACGCTGTGCTCCTCCGCGGCGCCCTTCGCCTCCAGCAGTGCCGGCATCCGGGGTATGAGGGGGAAGAGGCGAGGCTGGTGTGGAGCCGGCGGTGTGCGTGCCAGCTGGAAGAGTGTGCGGAGGCCGCTGGGTCTCAGCAGGCAGGGCTTTAAGCAGTGCTTTTGATCGTGGACTTTGATATCAAGGAAACAGGTCTCTAACCAATCCCTGACTGCCAGGCCCAGACCTGAGAAGAAGCGACGTTGAAGACTAGTGTTCACGTCTGGGGAAGGGCTTTGAAAATGAACCCAGGGCGTTAGTCCTGTAATCCTAGCAAAGCAGCAAGGAGCTTGCTGAGATCACCTTCTGAGAGCACGTCTCCCAGTGCCTGCTCTGGGGAGGCCGGCAGGAAACACTGCTAAGCCCATGGGCCTGGGCAGCAGGCTCAAATCCCTGGGCGCCTTCCGCTGAGGGCAGGGTGACCTAATGCGTGGGAGCAGGCACAGTCCCACGTGGAATCTCCGTGGCCAGCACCGCGCCTGCAGGCTAAGAGTGCCCTCTGTGCGCAGAAAGAGGCAGGGGCGTGGTGTCCCACGGGGCTCACGACGTGCCCTTTTTGATCTCAGATGTCTTTCTCACTTCTGCATTTCCTAGTAGGTGCTGGTCATGCTAGCCTCTTCAAGGGTCAGATTGATTTCTTTTTGTTTCTTTGAGACAAGATCTTACCTTAGAGTCAGGCCGGCCTCAAACTTGAAGCAATCCTCCTGCCCCCAGGGGGATTTATTCTTGTACCTTTGCCCTTCCTGTCCCTCCTGCCTGGGTAGTAACATCCGTGCTTGGTCCCTTGTTTTGTATTATCAATGTCTCGCTCCTCAGCAGGATATTCTGTGTCCATGTAATTTAAGGTAGCTTCCTCAGCAACTTCCTCTTTAACTTTATTTATGTAAACTTCATTGTTTTTATTTTCCTCATAGTACTTATTCCTTTTTGAGGAAAGACGTGAACGAAATTGTGCCAGTAGATAATCTCTTTCCAGCATGTACTGGACGCCCCAAAGTCCGCCTCAGAAGACGCTGTACAGGTAGACATGACGAAGTGAAATGGCATTTAGTGGGTTAATGATTTCACTGCAGGTGAGAGGATGACTGAAGAGAAACAACAGCAGCCCTGAAGCGCAGACCCCGAAGTTTCAGAAAGGAAGGCCTCATGGGGAGAACGTGAGGCAAGCTGGTGGTTATAAATGGGAAACTGAAGCAAGGTTCACCTAGCAGTTCTTAGAGGAGGAGAAGGTGCACTGATTACCTGGATGGCATGCCCCGTCTCCGGAAAGAGTGGTGGTTATTTTGAGCTTGTGTCACTCGTGTGATGAGCTCGCAAAGTCCCCTTGGCCGTCATCCCAGCTCTGCGGGATGCTCCTGTGTGTGGAGAGATCCTGTTTGTGACGTTCTCTTGGAACGCAGCTAGGGTAGATGCTAGGCCCGGCGTCCACCCCAGGACGTGCAGTTGTGGTCCCAGGCGTGCACGTAAGCCGCATTTGTCGCCCTGCCCTCTCTGCGTGTCCTAAGATGTGTGGGCACGCGGGAGTATAGAAGTGTACATGCAGTAGGAGAGTTTCTACTTGGAAGAGAACAGGGAACAGAGAAAGGGGGCTATGGAGGGGCCACTGTGTGGTCTGTCCATGTAGAACAGGGCGCGAATGATCTCCCGGAGCTGTGTAGCCAGACGGTTCTGGGTTCTTCGCTGCCTGGGGCCCCTGAGAGTGGCCATTTCCCAGAAAGCACACCAGGACTTCTGTTCTTTATGCTTCTCCTTCCTTCAGGTCGCAGTCCTGACTGCTCTTGGGGACCACCCTTCCCCAACTTTCAGCTCATGGGTCATGGCTTTACTGTACCCACTTTTTTTGGAACTGGGGATTGAACCCAAGGCGTTCACACTGAACTTTATCCCCAGCCCTTGTTATATTTTATTTTGAGACAGAAGTCTTGCTAAATGACCAAGTCTTCCAGGCTGGGCTGTAAGTTGTGATCTTCCTGCCTCAGCCTCCCGCTGACATGCACCACCATGCCCAACTGTACCCACTCTCAAATTCGCATAGTATCCTATCCCACTGGCTTCAGTATTTGGGGATGAAAAGTGACCCAAGACAGCCCAGTAAACTCAAGTCCAGGACTTGAACTGGAAACACTGGAAAAGAAAGTCCTCACCTTGTGAGACTTGAAGTGGGGATGTACATCTGGTGTGGCCGGGAGCCCCCCTGAAGCTGGAAGACACTTGAAGGGGACGGGACTGCTCAGGGACTGGGGTAGAGAGAGGGGCCAGGATGGGCTCCTGCTCCTTGGGCCTCAGCTACATGGCCGGTGCATTTCTGCCTTGTTTTTCCTTTGAATCTAGGCTGTCTTGGGCTTCTCATTTGCAAGTGCGTGTGCTCAGGGATAGAAAATCCTTACAACTTCGGTACTGTGCTGGTGTGCAGACGTTCACCGTCTTTCTTACCGCACAGAGCCCTGATTGTGATTTTCTGATTCATTAATAAAGGCATATTATGAGCCAGTAGTGCTTTTCAGGATTTATTACTACAAGCTAATAAACAGCTTTCTCTTCATAACTTGGAGTTTATGTCAAAGTGGAATTGGCCTCTGCATGTGCGCTGAAGACATGTCCAGGTGTCTTGGTTACTTTCCTCTCGTTGCTGAGACAAATTACCCAACACCCAGAATTAAGGAAGGAGAGGTTTATTTAGCTCACAGTCTGTGGAGGTTTCAGCCCATACTTGGCTGGCTCCAAGGCTGGCTCCAAGGCTGGCTCCAAGGCTGGGTGGCACATGGCAGAGGGCAGCAAAAGCAACAACAGCAGAAAGCAACAAGGGTAAAAGGGCAGAGTGGCAGAGAGCAAGGCTCTTTCCCTCCCTTATATTGTACGCAGACTGCCCGCCCCCGGGGTAGGTGTAACACTCACACCCATAATCACAGCATGGGACTATGGGTCAGTCAAAACTCTAGAAGCCCGCCCCATGACTGCATGAGGCTTTGGGGGGACATCCAGACACAAACCATAACACTAAGTCTTACAAATTTCTGCCTGGGATGATGGCTCCACTACAGTTCCAGTTTCAGACAGGTCTACACGTTTGAAGATTCAGTTGCTTATAGCCCGGGCTTGGAACTTTGAGCCACAATAAAAGTTAATAAAAATTGGCAGTCATGTTTATGTCACTAAATACGGTTAAGCATGAACCCCACAGTACTGGGTGGTTTATGGTACTCTTTGTGTGTGTGTGTGTCTGTGTGTGTGTGTGTGTGTGTGTGTGTGTGTAGACAGTGTCTCCCTCTCTCGAGCCCTGCTGACCTCAAACTTGTGATCCTCCTGCCTCAGCCTCCCTAGTACTGGAATTATGGGTGTGTGACACCACAGCTGACTACGATCCTCTCTCTCAAAGCAATAAAAGAGGGTAGAAAATTATGCACAAGAAAAGCTGTGTCCTAATTTGAAATGTAACTACTAGGATGGAAAAACTATTTTCTCTTAAAAGAAGTCTATCTCTTTGCAATTAGGGTTAATAAATTTGCAATACAGTACTAAGAATTTCATCGAAAACAACACAGACCACTAAATCATCAACTCTGCATTGAGCTAGTTGGGGGGAAAATACTCTTGGAAGAAGGAGGCCATATAAAAGCCACCGACTTTTGTATTTGTACACTTGTCACAAATAGCAACCGATGAAGCAGCTCTCACCCAGGGCGAAGGGAAGGTGCTGGGGGGCGGGGCTGGTCATCAGAATGGGGGAGGCGCATCCAGCTAAGCGCGAAACAGTGACGTAATTTTGCATCGGGAAGGAGAGAAACCACCAGCCTGTTAGCATTAGGATCAGAGTCGAGGAGTTCTCGGCTGCCGGGACGCGAACGCTGAGAGGGGGCTGAGAATGAGGGCTGGCTCGCCGCTGACGGGCACAGGCTTTGCGTCGGAGGGGACGGAAACGCCCTGGGATGAGTGACGACGCTGTACAGCATTCTAAATATGCGAAAAACTGTTGGGTTGTGTGCTTTTGTTTTCGGAAGTTGAACAGAGGGACTTGCACTGAGCTACATCCCCAGCCGTTTTGTTGTTGTGTTTTGAGACAGGATCTCTGAGTTACCCAGACTGGGACTGAACTGAATCACATCCATTAAAGTAGCTTAAAATGTGAATTTTCCTACTTTTATTGGAGTAAATCTGAGTGATCCTGCTCAGTAAACTAGTGCTCGCTGGTTTCCAATTGTACGTAG